TATCATGTAACAGGCACGTGTGATCGTATAGTCTGACCAGGTTCGTGTACAAGATACGTGGGGCAAATAGCACTTAAGCCACAACAGTATAGATTAATGCTATAACACGGAATTGCTACGGTAACACTATTCCTTTAATGGAACAGCATTCATAAACACATACAGCTACATAGATGGGCCTAAGAAGCCAACCAGTAAATACGATACAATAACATACAATACATATCTATACACCAGGCACATACAGACAAGCGACTGCGTTGTACAAATGCAGTACATGTTTACGAGCGTGAGTCCTGCCAGTCAGCCAGGCAGCAGGCAGGTCCTCAGTCAGTGATTGGTCCAGCAGCGACGGTAGCGTGGTGATCCCAGCAGGTGAGATCAGGCGGAACCTGTGAGCTGACAGGCGTCGTGGAACCGTGTCTGTCTTTCTGTCGAAACTGTTCGCGTATTTATACAACTTGGAGGAATGCATGGGCTGAGCGTGGTCAGGCTTGTTACGATGGGTGCAAGACGTGTCCTTCTCCAGAATTTTACTGGGCAACTTGAAGGTGAGACTTCCTTCTCCTAGCGTGAGAACGGCGGTCGCGAGTCTTGTAGATATGGTGGAGTGTCGGATGGAGTTATCTCGAAGAGCCTCGTTGAACAGCCTTCTATTCGTTACTAAGTGTTCATCGCGCACGGCTTTGTGCCATACCGCTGCTGCCCGTGCACGCGACGTGTTCGGCTCGCAATGCTGAAGGATATGGCCACAGATTTGACCCTGTGCGGTTGTGCGACACCGGTGTTAGATAGGGTCCCGCTGTGTCCGCACGCCGGCGTTGCGCGGCTTTGTCATAGACTCTTAGCGGTCATCACCTGAGACGGGGTCGTAATTTTTGACTCGCTGTTCTAGTGGACTCCAGTTTCTTGAGATATTCGTGGCTTGCCAACTTTCAACCGTGTTACTTGACTGACATAATTTTGTCAACTAAATAACCATGACGATGATATACTACCTTAAGCGACCGTGTCGCTGGGGTTTTATACTAGGTTTAATTAATCGATATCTACGTCACTAACTGTAGTATAGTATAGTATAGTATAGCTTAGTATTAGTATAGGTATAGGTATAGTATTAGTATATTATAGTATAGATATGATTAGTAAGTTAGTATAGTATAGTATTAGTATAGCTATAGGATAGTATAGTTAGTATAGTATAGTATAGTATAGTTATAGCTATAGTATAGTATAGTTTAACAGTATAGTATAGTTAGTATAGCTATATATAGTATAGTATAGTATAGTATAGTATTAGTATAGATATAAGTATAGTATAGTAAGTATAGTATAGTATAGTATAGTATAGTATAGTATAGTATAGTATAGTATATATAAGTATAGTATAGTATAGTATAGTATAGCTATCAGTATAGTATAGTATAGCTATAGTATAGTATAGGCTTATAGTATTAGTTATAGTAAGTATAGCTATTAGTATTAGTATACTTAGTATAGTATAGTATAATATAGTATTAATTATAGTATTAGTATAGTATAGTATAGTATAGTATAGTATAGTATAGTATAAATATAGTATAGTATAAGTTATAGTATAGTATAGTTAGCTATAGTATAGTATAGTATAGTATAGTATAGTATAGTATAGCATAGCATAGCATAGCATAGCATAGCATAGCATAGCATAGTATCGCTGAAGGGGTCGTTATATAGACCCGAGGTACATATAATTTATGTATACACAAATTGTACCAGACTTGTACTACAGAAGTGTACCCTAACCCTAACCCTAGCCCTAACCCTAACCCTAACCCTAATCCTAACCCTAGCCCTAGCCCTAACCCTAACCCTAACCCTAGCCCTAACCCTAACCCTAACCCTAACCCTAAACATACCGTATATAAAAATATAAACATAATACTAAACAACCTAAAACTACCTCCTAATTATATAAAAATATAAACATAATACTAAACAACCTAAAACTACCTCGGGTACATATCTGTAGTACCTGAGACGACAACGACCCCATCTGCCATAATATAGTACACCTTTTACAAAACACTGACAGTAGACGGTGCCCAAATTACTATTGCCAAAGGTAAAAGGTATATGTGACTTGTCATTTCAATATAATAATATAATATCCTATTATTCATATTTTTTTATATTAACATTTAATCAAGCTACATATAGTGTTTGTTCCGGAATGTACACCGTAAAGGTAGGGGTGGAAAAGCAATATAAATTATGGAAGATATGCTACCAGGAGTACATGATATAGAGACCTCTTTCTATATCATGTCTAACTAATACTATATTATATTGTTTTATAGTAATTCCAATTATACATAAAGTTATAATCGTCTATCTAAGCAAGAAGCCTGATTTTTAACTTCTATATTACGGGAAAACGCCGTAGCTTACAAGTAATCGTCCGAACGTAACCAAAACGGCAAATTCGACAATTCTAATTCAACGAACGGACAATTATGGGAATAATATTTTATCATCGACGACAAATTCTACTGACAGACGGATGGATAAGAACAAATTGCACAACATCTGGATGATTCTTTTTGTTTTCCTGGTGGTATTTTTACAGGAGTGGTTGGCTTAACCTGAATATAACAATTTGTTTTTTTGTGTATAAGAAATTCTCATCGTGCTGTAATATAATATTATGATTGATGAAATGGTTGATTGATTGTTTACTTAGATTATTGTCAAATATCCTTTACAGACGATAGGTATATACAATTAAAACATACAGTTAGCTTAATCACCAAAGATCGAAACTCAAACAGTAGCATATATATAGCACACTAATTATTTACTTTGTGGACCATGAACATGTACATTACACTCAGTATCTATAGTGTTAACTCCACTGTGATTCGTAAACCCATACGCCTAGACTAGTAAGATTAAAACGTGCCTTCTCTCGTTTCAACATTTTACAGTAGCTGATAGCAGTCTACCTTAAACTAATATATCGAGTTACAAGTACTTAATTCTAACGTGTAGAGTTTCAAGCCTCAGTTCAAAAAGAGATTAATGGATCCTTTCCAATAATTCCCAATCTTGTTTAAATATTGACATATTACCAGCCCTAGTTTTGAAAACGAAGGATTTTGAAGCCTGGATTTCGAAAGTGAATGGAAATCATTCGGTCACGTACACTGAACAGAAACTTGAACCGTTTTGAAAACTCATGCTGCTGCTTTTAAATAACAGGCTGAACAGGCTGAACTCTCTAGCATAAGGGTAATCCGATAAGATAACTAGAGCACTCGGAGAGCACAGACCTCCGCCAAGGCAGCTAAATTCTGTCACTGTGAAAAATTGTATTACTTAATTAATTAATTAAATAATTAATTGGTTCCGGATGACGACCAAAATGTAATCAATTCGTAACGTGTTACCCGATTTCTGACGAGGGGACGGCGGCGTATCCTGATAATTTATTAATTAATTAATTAGATTGAGATCCGGAATCACCTACCAAATGAGATCAATCTCTAAGGTTACCCATTGTGTGACTGTATGCCTGAAATGTTATTTAATTAATTATAATTAATTAATTATGGAATCCGTGACGGCGATCGGATCACCAAAATCTGATCAGATTCTAATTAAGTTAGCCCAAAATTTCTGACTATCGTGAAATTTTATGACAATCCGTCATAACTTCTGTTCAGTTAGGCTGCTACACAAAGCCCGACGAACCCACAAACCCACAAACACACAAACGAACAAACACACGCCAGTGAAAACATAACCTCTTGCCAACCCCTTGGCGGAGGTAATAAAGTACAATATACCCATCAAATTATCATGTACTGTACGTACTGTGTCTAGCTTGCCACAGGCCCACAGCGTGCACGCTTTGGTTAGACTGGTTCGCGGCCCCATTGTTTGTGACATGCGTCGATTAGCGAATAATTTAATAATATATGAATAATCGAATAATTGCGCTCAACTGGAGCCGTATTCACAGACATCAACTCCATAGCAACTATGTGGGCCCTACGCTCAAAGTTTATGCTGTAGGAAATAGATTAAGCATGGTCAAAGTATCATTGAATTATACAGCCAGGAACTATAGTAACCCTTTATACACTTTTTTGCAACTTCCCATAATCGCGCCACTCATATTATGTTCTGGGTCTATTACTAAGTATTTGACGACATTTTATAACAATATTTGCACCATTACACGTAACCTTTAAGTTTGAAATATTTTTACAATTTTTTTCTTTTGAGCAAATACGATATTTTCTGTGATGGTCGATGCTAACCTGGAAAAGGAAGACTATTAAGACTAATCTTGCTTTATCTATTGTCACAATAAGGTAATACGCTTAATATAGCGCTATGCACGTGGTAACAAAAATTCACAATCGAGGATATATAATATTATGCGTGTATACATGCGTGCGTGAATATTATTGTATACGTGTGCGTGCACATGCGCGTACGAGGGTACAAGTGTACGTCTCTCAAGTAATGCAACATTTCTGCTGTTCCCTAGCCATGCTAGCTCAGGTGACGATATAACGTTGGACTATATAACACGTATTATAATTATGTTAGATAAGACGTACCACTGTGTTTACGGTGTAATGCAATATTGCGTTAGCGATTGCAACATAGGTAAGTATTATTCAACGAAAAAGGAAACTGTAATTAAAATATGCACTTTTAACTATGTCTTTACTTTAATTGATATAAATAGAGAGATATTTGTAGGCATGCATATTAATAACAACATTATCAATTACCATTGTGCACTCTGCAGGAGACACGGTTTTCATTTCTATATTTTTACAAGCTAGACTCTAATATAACTGAAAGTGTTTTAATGAGAAAAGTGGTTTAAATGTCTCAACAGTTGATATTAAGAGCGCGATTGTCAAACACAACCATTCTTAACCACAATCGAATAAAAAAAAAAACTTTACTGGGATTTCTTTTGTAAGCAGTCAATGATTTATTGTCTACCTTCATAAAGACAAAATAACAAAATAGGCACTCGTAACTAAAATAACGACAAGAGGAGTTCTAGTAAAACAAGTTATTAAAATATATCTTTCCTCTCAAACTATTGTCGCCAATATGCTTTTACTATCGCACATTCGTTTTGCCTGCTCTGTCTATGACATACTACGCAACATTTTACGTGGCCTTGTAGGCCTTTGCCGCTATTGCAGCTTATATAATAGCTATTCAACGAAAAAGCTTTTAAAACACGCCAATCTGAGCACTGTGCGCACTTCCGTCGTAGTCTTGTGTATAATATGACTTGAAGATCGAACAGTGCAATAACCGCGTCTTAAAAAGTCTGTGAACATCCCTGATTATTCAAGCGTGGGTTGAAACCCATCTGGTTGTTGCATCGTGTAGAATCGTTTAAACACGGAATACCTTTCCGGATGTAGGTCCGACTAGGTAGGTAGGTAGGTAGGTAGGTATGTGTGTATAGGTAGGTAGGAGTGTAGGTGTATTGCTCACGGTGCTTAGGTTGGCGATGTTTAGTATTAATGTAGCACATAATGTAACTTTAAATAACTTAACACGCATGATAGACCGTCAATTCGTTATAACGTCCTACATTATACGGTCTGCGACGATATTTCTATACGTAAGTATGGAAACCTATGAAACGTATTATAATGTGCATTTACATCACAACCTGTACAAGTCTCATTTACATTTAAAATAGCTATATATAATGCAAATTCGATAGCTGCGCTTGTTACGTATACCTGCGGTAATTTTACTACCGCATTTCAATAAATATTCGTATAAACAAGACAATATATAGAACATCGCGAATGATCACAGAATCGATATCATGTGTGTGTGTGTGTGCGTGCGTGCGTGTGTGAGAGCGAGCGTGCGAGTGCGCGGGTATGAGTGTGTGCGTGTACGTGTGTGTGAAGACGGTGACAATAGCCGAAGAGCATGCCATTAGAAGTAGACGGTGTTTTCAACCTCTCGCAATCTCCTTGAAGTCATGCTGTCTGCAGATTCATCGACAAGCTCGTCCGTCACGTTCCATGGCGAAGCTATCCCAGACCTTCCGTATACCTTCAAGTGTAGCGTAACGCGAATTAGACAGTTATAATGATATCGAATTCTTTCGGAGATGACTTGTTCTCATATCTTGAAATGCAATTCGAACACACGACATGCTTGCATGACCAGAAAAATCGACATGCTTGCACGACGCACACACACACACACACACACACACACACACACACACACACACACGCGAGCGCGCGCGTATTGCAATCACGACAATGATCATTTCGAGATACATACGTGCGGTCGAGGCAAGAGAATCTCGGTCGAGTGCAAGGAAGACACGCTGCCCAGCTGTTCATTTGTGCCCGCAACAGAAGGGGGATTCAAGATGTTAGCAATGCCCAGCCATCGGTCCATGCTGGACTCCCCTACTGTTTCACTACTAGGTTGAGCGCTGGCTCCTTCTATACAATCACTAACGTTTCTACCATGTGGTCGCAAACCACCCACAGATGCCTGGTCAACGGATCTTTGCGAGTAAATTTCGCCGTGGTCACTTCCGTCGGACGATGGCAAAATCAGCTTTCTGCAAGAGGAATATACCGTCTTGTTTGCAGTTTGCGCTATACTGTGTGTGTGTGCGCGCGCGTGTATGCGCGTGTGTGATTGTATGTGTTGTGTGTGTGTGGGGGGGGAGGTATGCGGGTATATGCATTACTGTGTGTCTGCGTCTGTCTATTCATTTAGTATATATATATAATGTCAAGAGTAGATAATAACATCTAATAATTATCTACTCTTGATAATGTCAATAGTCCATAATAGAAATTATGGACTCTTGATAATATATATTTATTTATTTATTCATGTAAACGCTTCCTTAACGTGAAAAAACTCAGCTGTAACTATGTGAAGCCTGGATACGGGTGACATGTATACGAGCTTCGCTGATTGATCGGGTGTATCCTGTGCATTGTCGGTGATTATAGCGTACCTACAAAGCAGTATTCCATCAATATACCTAACAAAGGTTATTGCATGGGACGGTCATTGTCGCGGGCGTGCGCCATTCATATATCGTCGTACACGTGCGAATATCAATAAACGCACTTTTTTACGTTTCAAGATTTGCATCACTGTATCAGAGCATGCAGCCCTTCCATTACTAATAAATTACTAGATGTATATTGCTGTCATGAGCGCTTCCCCATGGTGGTTGTGTGTTCCCTCTATCTATCTATCAATCTATCTATCTATCTATCTATCTATCTATCTATCTATCTACTATCTATCTATCTATCTATCTATCTATCTATCTATCTATCAGATAGATAGATAGATAGATAGATAATCTATGTATGTATGTATGTATGTATGTATGTATGTATGTACATACATACATACATACATACATACATACATACATACATACATACATACATACATACATACATACATACATACATACATACATACATACATACATACATACATACATACATCATACATACATACATCATACATACATACATACATACATACATACATACATATACATACATACATACATACATACATACATACATACATACATACAGATAGATAGATAGATAGATAGATAGATAGATAGATAGATAGATAGATATATCTATCCATCTATCTATCTTATATATCTATCTATCTCGCTCTCTCTCGTTTATATTATTAATTAATATATTATCCTAATATATTATTAGGATGAAACCCTGTCAACGCGCACTACTACAGCATATTGTACAGCATACCTTAATTCTGCACAGAAATAGCCGACCCCTGTCATGTGTTTCTTGCCTCCTTCTGTCTATGCCCGACACGTCACAGGCTATCGAACTCGTATCTAGATTATTGTAATTTGTTTACTCATCTAGTAAACTGTGTCGCTCTCGCTCCGACACACACACACACACACACACACACACACACACACACACACACACACACACACACACACACACACACACACACACACACACACACACACACACACACACACACACACACACACACACACACACAAATATATATATATA